GACACTTGCAGATGACAGGACATTTAAAATCAACTGAGCTTTTATTGCTCAGAAAGATTTTGAGCCCTGGCAAAAAAAAAAAAAAAAAAAAAAAAAAAGTATCAACTGTGGAACTTGAAAAATGCCTATTTGGTCTGGGAGCAAATTTGGTTATACTGGTACCATTGGTACCAGGAAAAGACTCACCATAAATTTAAACTCCTAACATACACCAATGAAAATAGCATTTTGCAACTTCAGTTACTTAGGCAGCTAAGTGCATAATTTTTCTTTCAAAACTACACAAGATTGAGGAGCTTGAAGTGGGAAGGGCTGTTATCGTAAGATATTTCAATATTCAAGTTCCTATATGGAAATATATGTGCACATACATGCCTATACACACATCCACACATGTATCTGTACGTGCTGACTGCCAAGTGTGTACAGCCAAAGTTCATAAACTCTCTACAACATTTATAAACTGACCCTAATATCACCTCTAAGGCAGGCATTCATTGTAACACTGATCTTACGGAGGAAGAAATTCAGATATGGAAGTTATGATAACCTTCCTACTCACAAAATGACAAACACTACTTACGTACACACTCCTATACTTCTATCCAAATTACTGGCTAAAACCAAAACAAAGCATAATCCTAGAAACATAAGAAACATACAGCTACAATATCACAGTAACAGGTCTGCATCCATACATAATATACCTTTATTTCTGTTTTATATGTATAAATATAAATATATTTTATATAGAGAGAAACTACTAGGGAAGCAAAAAAATATATCAAGAAAACATGTCACACAAAGGAAAATTTTTATGAGTAACAGGGGAATATTACACAGTTTTTTAAACTGCACTACAAGTGGTTTATAAGCTTCTGTAATTACACCTGCTTTCAGTAGTGTTTCGACAGGTCAATGTTAGTAGATGGTTACAATGGCACTGCAGTATCAAACACAGTGTGAGACAAAATCTGTACTTAAGTATGTTGGCAGGGTCACAAAAATTTGATTTTCCAAAAATTGATCAGAACAGAATCTAACCCCATCTTAGAGGTTCTTTGGGACAATGTCTTAAAGCAATAAGTGGGGGTTTTTCCCAACAGATACATGGTAATTTTGCTCCCTGTTTAAAATGTTGATGATATAAATTAATAAATACAGACAGAATATATTTATATGTAGTAGATTTTAATCTATGTATGTAAAATATAATTAATTTTACATCAGTAAAGATTTTAATATTATCGCAGTATTTAGCTATTATTTTTTTATTTCTAACATATACCTTTGTTTCATGTCTTGAAAGAGGGCTCCATGCTGTAATCTGCATTCACACTGTCCACTGCTCAAAACTGCCATTAAACATATGATTATTTTCACATACATCCTGAAATACAAACAAAATCAGTGGGGCATAAGTATCTTCTTAAATACTTAAATTAAACTGAATTAATTTTAAAAGACTTTGAAGTGATTTCCAGTCCAACCCATACTGAAATACGGGCTTCAAGATGGCTCTTAAATAAACTACAACTACTTGACATGAAGCAGTTTATTCCCTGAATGTTTCTTCTGCTGCACTCTATCCAGTAAACAGAAAGCAACTTGTAGGCACAGGCACAATCTAACTATTATCTTTGGAAAAAATAAAATAAAAATGCAATTGAAAATATTATATTTTCCTGAAGGAAAAAAATACAGTTAAACCTGAGTATAACAGGATACAACAGATACATATGTGACAACATTTCTAATAAACATAAAGATACCATGGACTTTCAGATGCCAGAAGAGTTCTTCGAGGATACTTCAGAAAGCATGAAGCAGGGCCAAATGCACAATTTGCAGTCAAAAATAACTTAGACCTTAATTGTGGCTGCTTCAGGCAGAAGGTAGGTCAGAAGCTGGCTCCAGGTGAGCTCCCTCCAAACTGACAGAATAATTCTGGTTTGAACTCAGAGTCCACGCACCAACTCTTGGGAATAACAGGCTGGTGCCTATCAACAGCGCCAGAGGCTCCCCACACTCCCGATGAGCTGGCCTCGCTTTTTAGGGGGGCAGAGAGAAGCTCCCTCCAGCTGTTACAGAGCCTCCAGGGATGCTTCCCAATCCATCTCTAATCTTTGCTGTGTGAGTGGGGCCCAGGCGGACCCCAGGGATGTGGTTGCTGAGTGTAGCAGCTCACAAGTACAACCTGTAACGACCAGAGGGCAACGCCGAGCAACGCACGGCCAGCCCAGCTGGTTTGTCACTGCGGCACAGTCCAGCAGAGACACGGCTTCGGGGCCAAGATTAGTCAAGACACATGAACACAGGCTAGAGCCCGTGGATCCATAATTTCCTTCAGCTTTAGAGCTAGCATTCTCTCTCTTACTTTAGGCATCTTGGCACAGTGCTCCATAGGATCACACCAGCAAATATTAGTGGACAGACACTTTCATATCATACTGGACCAACACTTAAAAGGCCTAGATTTTTATTATCTCCATGAAAAGAGAAAGGTTAAGTGCCTGTGGGAATAAAGAGGAAGGTGCTCCTTTCCTTTATACTTTGCACTCGTGAAAGTATGATAGCCCTAATTTTATAACAGGATAAACAGGATGGCTTCCCATGTTGAAAAGGCCCTGCAGTACTGGATAAAAACAATATGAATCAACAGAAATTCACACTTAACCAAGATGCTATTAAAATTACTTTGAATGCATAAGGAGGTTAGTAGGTAAAAAGATTCCAGTAAATTCCTTAGTAAAAACATGTATTTTTTATTAATCATAATGGACCTCCAAACGGCAATATTCTAATAAACCCCTCAAGGTTCCAGACAATTTTACCTGGATGGGATGCAGAGCACTACTACGCCAAACAATGCCCAGACCATTCTTAAAATCAGAATTAAATTCACCTAACTCACCTAAGGTTCAAATCAAATGATTTAAATAGACAAATACCAACAGAACCTGTCCACCAACAGACTGTTTGCCACATCTGGCCAGTGACAAGGTTGGGACTGGGGTTGCCTACAGGATAGATATGCACTATTCAGTACATCCACCAATCAGTAAGTTCATCCAGTACTGGCCCCTCTTTTTCCCCACAGACAATAAGGGGAATGGTTACATCTTGAACATGACAACGTTCTGATGATTCCCTACCAACCTTGCCACAGAGGGTAAGGAAAATTTGGTCTGTGTAAGAGTATGGTGCAAAAGATCATGCTCTCTGATTTACATGGAAAACTTGATGCTGCTCTGCACGGATAAAGAAATTTAAGCTGTAAATTCCATACCAGTGTCAGTCCCATATATTACAAAATGCTAAAAGGCATTAAACTGCAACTTCACCTGTACCATTTCTCAGTACATCTGCATTTTTAAACAATTAATAGGAATATGACACTGTCAAATACAATTTCAATAACTGAAATAAAGGATTAGAAAATTTGTTTCTTAAAGGCACTACCAATTTATCTACAAGCTTTATTTTGCATACAGCAGCTAAGAATAGCAATGATTAACTGAAAGAAAAAAAATGGACCACTCTGTCTATTTTTCCAGTTACTTATTTTCATAGGTATGTCTGCATATCAAGTAGACAACATCTCACCTTCCGTTTGTGGTCTGCTGGTGCTGGGAAGCAAAAAAAAAACAAAAAAACAAAACCAAAAACCAAACCAAACAAACAGAATCATCATTAAAATTAAGAACAGAAATGAACAAGGGGGTTAGTTACATCTACATTTAATTTATTGTCATCTGGCTAGATTTCAAGTCAATGACATGCATCTTCAAGCACTGCATGCTGTTTTGTAGATTGGTCATCCACCATAAATAAAATATGAGTCCGAAATCAACTGAGCTGACATTTACCCTGCTCTACAGCATAAACGCATACCAGCTCTCATGCCTGAATTTTAGGAGGCTTCAAAATACCAAGTGATAAAGGTTGATGAACAGTTACTAATGAGACAAGCCTGTAGGAGTGTTAATGTCATGAATGGGCCAGAAACTCTTTATGGGAATGCTGTAGGTTTTTATCTAGCCTGAACTCTGATATCATCCTGTAAGCTACCAGGAGTTGTAGAAGCCAGTTTATGAAATGGCAACCTTCACTGTTACATGACATTGAAAATTATCAACCCCCCCCAAAAAAAAACGTCACTGGACCAAGGGCACTGTATTTCTCAGGCAAGACAACACAATTTTCCTACTTCTAATGTAGAAAAAATCAATTCTTAAAAGCAGATGTTAAAGTGAGTTGTATATGCAGTAAGATTTTTTGGATGTCTGACTTAGTACACCATCTTTTTGAAAGCAGACAGTTCACTTGGAGCAAATTATTTCATTTTGCAAGACAAGTTAACCAAAAAATCCTAAGGCACTTGGGCAAGCAGTCAAATCCTTTGGTGCCCTAGTAAGCTCCATATTAAAGGCTAGAAATGAAGGTACCTCGCAGGGCTTTGGAGTTAAAACTCAGTGCACACCATGTTGTCCTGATGCCCCCACCCCTTGTTGCTGCTGAAGAACAGCTAGAGTCCATCAGACCGCCTCGGCGGCACAGATCTGTTTTTCATAAAAAAAGATTATTCCAGTGGTATCCAGCTTGCTCTGGTACTCAGATATTTTGCTTGTTAAGAAATGTGAATATTCAGCAGGTTATAATCAGTTAAAAACAGCCAGTCAGTTTCAGACCCAACTGACCAGGAAGAACCACAGGAATTTGGTAACAAATCAGCCAATCGGGTAAACATTCACTCCTGCAAGTCCACAGCATGGCACGTGGACACTGAGCTTGGGCAGGAAGCTTCAGCTTCACTCGGGCGCCGTCCCTCGCTGCCCCCAGGCAGGCTGTGCAGCTGACAAGGCACCGTGCAGACCAGCGGGCAGTCCAGCAGGCAGCACGCCATCACATTTCACTGGCCGTCTTGGGCTGCCCAGCAATAGGATTCCTTCCAGCTTGTCCAGATCATTTAATTGGCAAAAGTCCACAAGTCTGTTCCCAACAACAAATTCATGCCTGAGTTTGATAAAAAGTCATTTGACTCAATCAGTTGTTTTTTTCCCCTCTGTCAGCATGAGGCTTTCTGACGAGTCTTCTCTCAGTCGCAGCATCAACAGGTCATTTCTCTCTCATCAGATCCCAAGGTAAAATCTGCTCTAGCTCCATTTACCTTACTCAGTTCTCCCCATTGTCAATTCAAATCCAAACAAGCCTTTTGAAGTCTCTCAGTCCTTTTTTCTTGTGTCAGGAAACCTTCGGGACAGTTTATAACCTATATAAGCACTAAGACAGGACCACAAAATGAATCGTATTAATATTATCACGACCAGTAAAATCATCAAAAGGACCGATTCCATATTTAAGGTAAAATAATGAGGTAATGTGAAAAAAAAATTCTCTGGGAGATCTAATTATATAATGTAGTATTCAGCTCTATGTGGCCAGCCCAGCAATTCCTGTAACATTCCAATCAAAGTGATCTCACTAGCATGTGAGAGAAGAGTACAGCTGACAGATTTGGGACATGTAACGTACTACTTAGTCAAGAGGCCCCATGTGCTATTCATAAAGAATTAACAACTCTTATATTGACAATGACAGTATTGTCAGAAGACCTTTGGAAGGGGGAAAAAAAACTCCATAAACTCCGTCTCTGTGAAGTTGGACTTTTTTTTTTTTTTTTTGCCCCTTTTTTCCAATGCTGATGTAATCTCCAAACATCTCCAGCAGCAGCTGCTCAGCGAAACCAGGCACCTTCTCCCTAGTCCCTTTCAGCAGCACACGCAGCACTTTCCAGCTCCCTCAAGACAATCAGGGCCTTTCTTTCACCAATTAGCTATCACTTCAAGAGCTCTGCGCTGTCCAACGAGCTCTTAAGAACGGTCTTTGCAGGAAACAACACTGGAGGAGCTTTTTTTTTCCTGGACAAATTAAAAGGGGAAGAAGGGAGGGAAGGGGGGAGGAAAAAAAAAAAAGCACAACAAAACAAATCAGAACACAGAAGCTGTCCAAAATGCATTGTTCATTTAGTACATGCAGAATGTCCTCAAGAGCCAATGCTAGATTGCAAGGCACACACAAAAAATGCTCCTACTTTCTTTAGGAGATAGTTTGTTTAGTCAAATATGTTAAGCAGGTCTCATAGAAAGAAGGGCCGTTGTTACAGCAAATCTCTGAGCTATAAGAACTAAAAGGGAAAGAAACTCCTGTGAGATTAAGTTCTACTTCCTTATTTGGCTTTCCAAATGTAAAGCAGCATTATTGGAAGTAGACATTATAGGGAAAAAACTCTGTTTAGCTCACTTGAAATATAGATGTATTGATGAAGTATGTAATAACTGGAACTGCTAAGATCTTTTTGAACTTACTCAACTCCAAGTTCCTTCCCCAGAAACCGCACTTTTCATCTAAGAAGAAATTAAAGGCGGATTCAGAGATGTAAAGTTCTGAATTTGACATTCTTTTTCCTTTAAAATCAGGGAATAGGTACAGTAATACCTTGAGGTCCTTGTTGATGCCAAGTCCCCATTAGAACAAGAACAAACTCTAGGACCCAGTTCAAGAAGAAAACAAGGAACTTTTACAGATGTTCAAATAGAACATTGCCTGGGCCTGGAATTCAGCAACTGGACCTGGACAAGTGGAGTTCTGAACGCAAAAATGTGAAGGGTCAGCAGTAAGTGAAATGACTTGGACAAGGTCCAAGCAATAGCACAGTGTCAGGACTGCTTTTCTGGTTTTCAAAACTCTGCATTAAACCAAACAGCATACCAAAATATTGAGTGTCAGTGTTCTCTTACAGCACCGTTTTCTGGTCAAATTTATCCTGATTGGGGTAAACCTCACTAGAGTCAACACATTGCTTTCTGCAAGGATAACACAAGTACATTTACATTACAATTAAACAAAAAATAGTCTGTTCCCTTTTATTGACTGTATATCAGAAGCAAAGCTCTGGGCTTCGTAAACAGTTAAATGGCATGGCAAAGTAAATACTTTAAGGGGTTTCAGAAGCTTGTTTGCACTAATGGGTGCTCTTAACTACCTCAGGGATTTTTTTAATGGAGTCAAAAAGCATCAGAAGTGACCAGATTGCTTAAAAAGAAAGAAAGTCTGATGTATTACCCCATGTGCATTTATGAAGGAATGTGAACGAACTCAAATTCCTCTGCAGAGGAAGGCTCAACCAAGGGATGAGTACACACAATCAGGATTAAGAAGGAATCTTTGTGGAGGTGCATCGAACAATGAGTGTCTTTTTATACCTACAGACTTCAAAAGATGCTGAGTTTAAAGGGACTACTCCTTTCAACTAGCAGAGATTTTGCAGAAAAAAATGTAGCAGGCGGAAGAGAACAAATATATATACATGTATATGTTACTAGGCTCACCTCTAGTTATAGGAGAAAGGATGAAAGGGACCCAAAAGGTCTATCAGCTTGCCCTAAAGATCAACTATGACATTCTTGACAGATGTTTCTCTAACCTGTTTTTTTAAGAGACCTGCATCTATACAGATGAGAAGAAAGGAAACCTTCACCTCCTCTGAAAGAGATGTAAGCAGGAAAAACAGCTTGACAAATTGTTCAGTGGCTCTATCTGCTACAATACAACCACTGTAAGCCCACAGCCAGGGGCAAGTGACTCATTTTGTATCTGTAAAGTAATTTATTGGTTGAGGCAATGATATCTGCTTTTTGGCAGAAAAGCAGGTATGTGCCTCCTCTGGATGGTTGCAGTTGCTATACCTGGAAGCATATCTTTTGTGACAACCAGATTCCTTTACCCAGATAAAATCCTGTTGTCTGTACTCTAGCAGCATTGCTGAAAACCACCGCCAGGATTTTTACCAATTTCGCTATTAATTAATGGGACTGAGATATAATACAGAACATCCTATGCCTTGGCCATCAGCTCCAGTTCAATCTGTTAGCCGTGAGAAGCCTGGTAGTTATTTAAGGGCACTTGAGGAACGAACTGGTGGTTCACTCCGGTGCCAAGTGAACAGGTGCCTCCTCCCGGGGCTCACAAGTGGTTCTTGGCTCTGCCGTCCCCGGCGTTCCCCGAGGCGTCAAAGCCGGAACAGAAACCGCACAACCCTCGCGCCTGGCGCTGGGCTCGGCTTGGGACAGGCTGACCTAAAGCCGGGTAAGCTCCCACGACGGCTGCCTGGTCAACAGCAGTTCTATGGCCCCACATGCCACGGCTGTCAGCTTGGCACTCCCCAGAGGTACTACATGCATTCACACAAAGGCATCCTGCATTTCAATTGCTGAGGAGAGAAGGGTAGTGCTTTTCTGCTTAGGCTTCACTTCTTCGGATAGATTTCCTCCTACAGAAAATTAATGCCACAGCATAAGCAGGGAGAATCTACGTGCCAGATGAAAACTTTGGCTAGATTTTAGTATATGCGCTTTAATACAGATAGCTGTTCTGCCCTCCTTTGTAAAGTATTTTGAGACTGAGTGAGAAAAGCACTATGTAAAGCCTATATATTGATAATTACTATTTGGATTTTTCCAAATATACTTTTTCACATAACAGATGTTCCTAATTCCTGGCATCATTTTTAATGATTTGCCTTTTCAAAGAATGTATGCTGTATTACACATAAAAGCATCCTCTCTGTTCAGAGTTTATTTTGTTAAAAAAATTTCTCAACAAATCGTCTCTCCAGAGAACAATGGCATGATAGAACAATATTCCTGATGGGTGATATTTTATTACTAACATATGTTTTCATCACATAACCAACATTATTACCCTTTTCTGCTATTAATAATTATTGAAATCCTCTAATTTGAAACTATTTCCAAGACAAAATCCATATTTTGTTTTTAATTTATCACATAATTAATTGTCAGCACCCACTGAAGAGCAGTTTAGCAAAAAATAAAAATTAGTATGGATTATGCATTCTTGCTGACCTTTAAAATGTAAGGACAACAGATTTCACATCTACTTAAAAGCAGTCTATCTCCTAAAATATCACTATGTTCCTAAAATTTTAAAGTAGCAGGTGAATTCACAAGCACCAAAGCAGACAATACAACTATATTCATAAAACATCCACTGTTATCATCAGTTTGAAATATATCTCAAAGCATAAATTAATATAGAATTAAAAAATAGGATATTTGACTTACTGTATTTACCACACATTCAAAAGTCAGGATATATACAAAAGAAAACAGCAAAGAGTTGCAGGTGTCGACGTGACTAACAAGAAGTTCCCAGATCATGTTTAAGAAAAAAAGGAAAAATTCAAGACCAGGACTTATCTCAGAATCATGTGCCTTCTATAGTTATCAGAATCAAAAAGTCACCTTGCTCCAGTTCACATACATGAAATCTCCTCAACAAGCATTCTGCACTGCACTGAAAACAAAATACCACTTAAAAAGAGCCAGATCAAGGTATTCATAGCTTTAGAGGACAAAATCTGACATTCAAAGTCAATTCCTGCTTCAAATAACTTGTGATAATATGCATATATCAAGATCATTCAATGTTGCATTGAGTCAAAGGAAAGCAAACACCTGCACCACTGGTTTTCTACTGGAAAATCCCCAGCAAACATACTCCTCCCACTACAGTCAGTTTGATATGCCTACTTCCATGATCAAGAAAAACAAGGACAGAAATAAGATACTTCATTTATTACATATTTATTCTATTAAGAATAACTTCAGTGTCCATCAAACCAGAAGTGTTTGTAAAACTCTACCCCATCCTCAAAGGCCTCATGAGCAAAAGTAAAATCTAAAAGCAAAAAAAAAAAAAAAAAGCACAGAACATAGGAAAAGCAGTAATAGAAGTGAGGAAAAATGACTAGGAGAAAATGAAACAAACACTTATAAATCAGTCTCAAAAATTATTACCTGAAGAGTTCTGTATTTTAAAAAAAAGAATTGATGAGACCTTTGCAATTAGAGCTGTCACGCCGTTATCACCTCCATATGCTGCTGTATGCTGCAATGCTCAGCAGGAGACATCTTACTTCCCTTTCATTTATAGGAATTTATTACTAGGAATGTGGTCAGAACATGAAACAGAAGTTGGAAAACAGACCACCTATATGCCATGACATTTAATCACATCAATTAATTAAAAGAATAGCAATATTCAGAACATCCACCTAACGGTGAACAAACAAAAAAACCCACGAAAAATATTTAGTCACTCAAAGAAAAAGCCTAGCATAAATATTTAGACTTTCTGTTACAAAGTTCAGAATATCTTATTATCTGGCTATTATTATGGCCATTTCCATCTTCGGTGGTCAAAGACCCTACACAAGTTGCTAAGTCTTGACACTCAGTTAGAAGCATAATTTTTTGGTTGGAAAGAACCTCTG